CAATAGAAACTGTTGTGGTGTCTCGGCTGCTGCAGCTCAGTGGGAGTCGTGATATTTAACGAGCGTTTCATTGGCTGAGTGAGAAACTGGAAAAGAATCCAAAGCTGGAACAAGCTGAACTTCTTCACTTGTGTTCAGGCCAAAGAAAGCGAACAGTAGGTGTGATGAGCAGCACCAGGAGGCGTGGCGCTCCGCTGGCTGCACAGACGGGAGGCCTTTTGAAAATGGCAGCAGGGGGAGTGGAGGTGAGCTTTGCTACATGAAGTGGCTGATGGTCTCCGCTTTACAGAAACACTGCTAGCTTGAAGTTCCATTAGCAGTGAGGACGTTTCTCTCCCTCCGTCAGAGTGCCGGGGTAAAGCGCTGCCCTGCCATGATTGAATCATCGCCATGAGAGCAGAAGGCAGAGGCCTGCTGCGCGCCCGAGTTCTTCCTGTTCTCCTCGCTCAGCGTGGGAACAGCCGCGGACAAAACCTGCCTTGGAATCACACACAGCTCACAAAAGAAGCCCTGAAGGCACCATGAGCAGAGCAGGTAGTAACGGCTGCTTTTCAAAAGGTTTGTGCTGTGAGAGCACGCCATTCTAACAGGAAGATGTTTGTGCCGAGAGAAGGGTCAGCTGCAGGCAAGCACGCCCAAAACAGGTCCACCCAGGCGTAAAAGGTAAACAGCCAAATCAATGATGAGGCAGCGGTGTGGGACCACGCCACGCCACGCTCCAGTGGCTGAGCTTCCTGTCTGTGCGTGAAGAATAAAAGTCTTCTACCTCCCACAGCGCGTGTTCATGTCACTCTCTCCAGGCTAACACCGCCTAAGCTAACGCAGCCTAAGCTAACGCAGCCTAAGCTAACGCAGCCAAACTATGGGTCCTGGGGGGACAGGGCGTTCTCCATTGCTGCTTTCTCCCACCCTCTGGAACTCTCTCCCAAAAAACATTAGAGACCCCCCCCCACACACACACACACACTCACCTCCTTCAACACTGCCTACCCCCACATTACTCCTTCGTCGTACTGTCCTCGTCGTTCTTGTTTGTTTTGTTTTTTGTTGTTTTTGTCAAAGTGTCTTTGAGTTTTTAGAAAAGTGCTATATAATATGAATGTATTATTATTATTATTATTATTATTGTTATTATTATAAGCGAACGCGGCCTAAGCTAACGCGTACTAAGCTAATGCGGCCTAAGCTAACGCGGCCTAAGCTAACGCGGCCTAAGTCAAAGTGCTCGTTCCCCGCCAGAGAGCTCTGAGAATCATCAGGTGCTCACCTGCTCTCTGATGTCACTCTGTCACCTGCTGTGTTTGAACATCCTGGTGACCTGAGTGTCTACTGACCCACATCATGTGAATCCATCCTGAGGAAATAAAGGAACGATGTGTGCGACGTGTCGTAGAAGACATGAAGAACAACAAACTTTTGACTTTATGTTATCACAATTGTGAAATGTTAACGCACACCTCGTTTTTTTCCTCCTATCTAGATCGTGGTGTGTTCAGGGTCATGTGAAAAAAAAAACGTCAATCCTCGAGTTAAAACAGAACAAGTCATAATTCATCAAGAAATGATGAAATCAGAAAACTAATCGGTGATGACATGAACGCTAGCTGAAGTCTGATCCTGAAGTCTGCACCTGAAGTCTGCACCTGAAGTCTGAACCTGAAGTCTGAAACTGAACCTGAACCTGAAATCTGAACCTGAAGTCTGAACCTGAAGTCTGAACCTGCAGTCTGAACCTGCAGTCTGAACCTGAATCTGAAGTCTGAACCTGAACCTTTAAGTCTGAACCTGAAGTCTGAACCTGAAGTCTGATCATCAAGTCTGAACCTGAACCTGAAGTCTGAACCTGAAGTCTGAACCTGATCCTGAAGTCTGAACCTGAAGTCTGATCCTGAGGTCTGGACCTGAAGTCTGATCCTGAAGTCTGAACCTGAACCTGAACCTGAAGTCTGAACCTGAAGTCTGAACCTGAAGTCTGAACCTGAAGTCTGAACCTGAAGTCTGATCCTGAAGTCTGAACTGAACCTGAACCTGAAGTCTGAACCTGAAGTCTGAACCTGCAGTGATGACAGCAGTCTTTACCTTCATACACATCATTGGGGTCCGGTCTCACTGCGACCTGCTGCCGCCTGACTCGGTCTCTCCATCCCAGCTCTGCCTGACTCGCTCTGTAACGCCTGAGAGCGCAACACAGAGAACACAGAGAGGAGTTCTTGATGTTCCTCCTTCATCCAGCAGAGCAAACTAAAACCCTCTCTCTCTGACTCGGGGAGTTTAGAGGGATGCTCAGGAGAATTCACTCGCAGATTATTTTCAGCTCGGGTTTTGGTCCCGGCGAGGAGCTTTACCCGATGAGAGCGGCGAACAGCTTCGCCTGCAGTCACGCTTCTCAGGAACACAAAAGCCCATTACTGGAGCTCAGCCCACAAGTTATCTGCAGCTTAAATCCTTTTCAGCACACAAGTCCAGTTACAATGTGGAGTTCAATTTGAGGATTGTGTTCCTGTGTGAGTCTTCAGAGACTCTGCTGGATCAGGCCTCTCCTAAAGGGCAGCATCAACACTTTCTCACTGTTCAGCACATGATGAACAACCAGCTGATGAAGCAACACGAGCCGGCTCACAAACTCCCCGAGGCCGACGCTAAGAGACCCCACGCCTCGACTACGGGGGGCTCAAGGAGGAGGTCGTCTAACGGGTTTAAAAGATGATATGACCCATGGACCGGGGTGATAGAGACTAATGAGTCCCTGAAAAACCAGCAGACTCCTGCGCGCTGCCTACCGTTAAAAACATGTCGACTATGTTTTTGTGCTTTTTAGACAATGTGTTCAGCTGCAACTTTTAAAGGTAGAAAACAAGATTTGGTGACTTTAGGACTCAATGTTGTGATCAGGGCCGGTTCCAGGATTTATCTGAGTCCCATGAACAGATCTCCCCTCCCCCACCGCCTGAGAGTGCATCAGACAAACAACACGCTGATAATGTTTACCTGTAAATTCTGTCCATTAAAAATATTTAATCACTAAATATCTGTTGTCTAGACTTGTATTGTTGTTGCTGTGGTAACAGACAGGTATCAGCACTGTTTGTGACATCATGACGACTTTAAAATAACTTTGTAATAAATAAATAACGCTGTTTGAGCATTAAGAACTGGATGACAGTTTAAATGAAAACCACCTTTTTAATTTCTTTCCTCTTGAGAGAAACACAAACTACAGATCGACTTCAGAACCAATAAGGAGCCCCCCCCCCCCCCCACAGCGATGGAGGAGAGAGGAGGGGAGAGGACGGGAGAGGAGAGGAGAGGACACGAGAGGAGAGGACACAAGAGGAGAGGACACAAGAGGAGAGGAGGAGAGGACACGAGAGGAGAGGACACAAGAGGAGAGGAGAGGAGCCGCTCTGATTTCCTTTCTCTCTGAATCATAACGAGCAAATTCTTCACCTCTCTTGTTTGATCCTTCATGAAGTGAGATATCCAGGTGTTAATCTGCACCACACACTTCAGAGTCATGGTTTATTTTATGGCTCTAAAACAACTTAGACACCACCTCCTCCATCTCTATATCACCTGTTTGACAAACACACCTGTGATGCTCTGCTGCCTCAGAGAAATCTGCTCCCATCCCTCAACAGCACCCTTATCGCGCTCTCTCTCTCTCTCTCTCTCTCTCCATCTCTTCCTTTCTCTCTCCTCTCTCTCTCTTCCTCCTTCTCTCTCTCTCTCTCTCTGCCTCTCTCTGCCTCTCTCTCCCTCGCTCTCCATCTCTTCTCTCTCTCTCTCTACCTCCCTCCTCCTCCTCTCTCTCTCTCTCTCCCTCCCTCCCTCTCTCTCTCCTCTTCTCTCTCTCTCTCTCTCTCTCCCTCGGGATCCTGTGACACCTTTTTGGCAGCCTGGACTGAACCTGCAGGCGAAGCTGGAAACCTCATGTGTCCGTGCTGCAGTAGATGCCTGTGCTGCTCTAGATAATGATGTCACAGATAACCTGCCTGCTGACACCAGAGACTCCTCTCCAGAGACTCATTCTCATTGTCTTCCTGCCCTCCAATCCCAGCCTCCTGCTGATGCTGCCTCGGAAATCCTGCAAAAGCAAAGCTGCAAACTGATGGAAGGAGACATTCATCAGTGCAGAGACATCCCACAGATAACCCGAGTGAGCGAGATTCGGCTTTATTGATGCCATCATTACAGGCCTGCTTCCACGAGCAGAATGGTTTCCGGGTTTGAAGAGGAAATGAGAAGTTTGATGGCACTCTCTCTCCCGGGAGAAAAGCAATTACGCACAGCAATGAGAGCACAATAGTCGGAAATGGGCTCATGAAAGAGACATTAAATTATTCCACAGACACAATCAGTTGAAGGATATGAAGGAAAGTGTGTTTTTAATAAGCGTGATAAGAGCAGCACAGAAACATCTCTCACTCTCTCTCTGCTGGTTAAACTTGACATGTTATTAAACTCATTGATGGAGCGATCAAAGTTGTCCATTACGCAGGCGCACTGCTCTCACAGATCAAATCTATTTGCAGAAACGAAGAGAGATCGCGTGAGAACGCGGGCTGACACTTGTCGTAAATCGTAGCTGGCGGCTCGTGCGGAGACTTTTTTTTTTTTTTTTTACTGCTGCGCACGAAGCTCCGGACTCACCGGGCTGCGGGATGTTCACCACGCAGAGTCTGCGGGATGAAAACACGCGTGCACGGAGCGGGAAGAAGCTTTCAGTGCACAGGTGATGGTAAAGTTATAAACGTGTTGTTGACTCTGATCACTGAGCGGAGGAGGGACCGACACACAGTGCGCACCGGAGATCACAACAACACAGAGTCACACACGCAGATATCCCGACAACAGCGACACACACACACACACATACATACATACACATACACACACACACAGCTGTCAGGACACACACACACACACACACACACACACACACACACACACACACACACACACACACACTTACAGGAGGAGGCAGAAACGGAGTCACTCACCGATCAGAGAATCCACCTCTGTGTGAGGAGGCGCAGATTGTAACGTCACGCTGTACGTTTGGGACGCTCTCACGGTTTACCGGAGCCGGTGGGTGAGTGTGCGCCGCGCGCGTTGTGCTCCGGTTGCAGAAAGCTTCCTTCTTGATGCTCAGTAACTCTTTAGTTCTGGCAAATGGAGCCTAATCTATCCGGAGGCTCTGCTGTGTGACTGACAGCAGCGCGGCCAATCAGCGCCCGCCGTCGGCCCCGCTCGGACCAATCAGAGCCTCCGCGCGTAGTTGGAGGAAGGAGAGCTGTGAAGTAGGAAGGGCTGATGGCGACATCATGTGTTCAGAGTAGATATCCCTCCGCCCCGTCGTGTTCAGAGAGCGGCGGCTCTACTTTCACTGATCTGATGACAGATAACACTTCAGCAAGGTTTTAATTCATGTATCATTTAATTTTCTAATTCAGAGTCAATACATGCCAGAAACTAAACTTTAAAACATGAATAAATAAAATAGATCACAGCGTTAACCAGCAGAGATCACACAGGTTTGTAATTCATTCTCTGATTGATGCTGAAATTAAAAACATGTTCCTCTTGCAGCTCTCTGACTGCTGCTTCTTGTCCGGCGCACTACTTGATCTGCTCCCGGCGGAGGAACACCATGTTTACAGTGACAGGCAGTGTGGCGCGTGAGCCACGTTACTAACACATGCGCAAGTATTTACGTTCCCACGAGCGCACTTCCATTCCGGTGTTTTAACCTTACGTAGAGAACGTACTTTTACTTTTGTTTTTTTCTCACTGTGACGTCAGCGTTAAGTAAACTGTCCACTTTTAAAGGAACAGGGCTCGTGCACGCGCCGAGAGAGGTGGAGAAAGAATGAACCAATCAGAAGTGATCTTACAAACAGGTTAATTAATAAAAAGTTTCCTATTCTACTTTAAATCGTTTATTTAAATGAGTTCATGACAGAATAATCCAGCTGTGTGCTGTTTGATATGAAACTTTAATAAATGTTCATAAAATATATTCTGTCCTCGAGCTGCCGAACAACGACAGGTGTGCCAAGCGGCGAGCGCTCAGGACGACTTCCTGTCGTCTCAGGAACATCATAGCAGCGTGACATCATAGCAGCGTGACATCATAGCAGCGTGAGACGGGGCAGTCCTCCTGAGCATGATTCAGGACGTCCAGCACTTTGTGTTCTTTCTTTTTTCCGTTTATCAGAAGAAGTGACCTGCTGACTTTATTCACATTCCTTTATTACCACCGTCACACAGGAAGTGAAAGTTCTATGGACCAATCAACTGACTGCGGTGTTTCTCGCTCCGCCCTTTAGGTCAGATCGGTACGCCTGGGACCCGAACAGAAGGGGACCAAAAAAGTATGACGGTGAAACGGCGATAAACCATATCGCAGCGTGAGTCGGATCGCTCGGTGAAACTTTAGAGCGGATTAAATCGCATAAAGTGACATGAAAGAGTCAGAGCAGCAGCGTGGATGAGATGGTCATGAATCATATTTATCATGTTTGACATTTTGCTTTAATCACAAATGTTCCGAATGACCACGATGATGTCTGACTGACGGGTCGTGAACACTCTGAGTTAGCATCAACACATTAGCATCAGATCATCACTCTAGTTTGAAGACTCTCTAATCCACGCAGCACTTCCTGTTTCAGGTCTTCTCTCCTCCTTTCTGAGAGTTTGATCTTTTTCCCTTTAAGTCGACTTTAGAAATAAAAAGTTACACGAGCCCATAATAAACTTCTAAATGTTCTTTATTCACTTTAAAGAGCTCGATGGTGCTCGCACTGATAAATGTGTTTGATGATGAGGAAGAGGAAGGAGAGGAGGAGGAAGAGGAGGAGGAAGAGAGAGAGGAAGAAGAGAAAGAGGAGGGGGAGGAGGAAAAGGAAGAGGAGGAGGAGGAAGAGAGAGGAAGAAGAGGAGGAGCAAGAGGAAGAGAAGGAAGAGGAGGAAGAGGAGGAGGAAGAGGAGGAGCAGAAAGAGGAGGAGGAGGAAGAGGAGGAGAAGGAAGAGGAGGAGGAAGAAGAGAGAGGAGGAAGAGGAGGAGGAAGAGGAGGAGCAGAAAGAGGAGGAGGAGGAAGAGGAGGAGAAGGAAGAGGAGGAGGAGGAAGAAGAGAGAGGAGGAAGAGGAGGAGGAAGAGGAGGAGCAGAAAGAGGAGGAGGAGGAAGAGGAGGAGAAGGAAGAGGAGGAGGAGGAAGAAGAGAGAGGAGGAAGAGGAGCAGGAGGAAGAAGAAGAGGAGCAAGAGGAGGAAGAGGAGGAGGAAGAGGAGGAGGAAGAAGAGAGGAGGAGGAGGAGGAAGAGGAGGAGGAAGAAGAGAGGAGGAGGAGGAGGAAGAGGAGGAGAGAGAGGAAGAAGAGGAGTTGGAACTAAAGTAAAATGACATGATAGTGGTGGTGTTGATGGAGACACACACACACACACACACACACACACACACAGATTACAGCGTGTTGTCTTCTTTACATAAGAGGATTATGGGATGGTTTGCAGCAGTCAGATGGACGTCCCGCTGCTTTCCTCTCACGGCGTCCTGCTCGTACAGCTGGGTAGTCCGGAGGTCAGGGAAAAGCCACGGGAAAAATGTCCCCAAACCGCCCGAGGAAGAAACAGGAAACAGATCTACTGACGGCTGCTGCTCATGTCAGCCTCATCAGAGAATCACTGCAGTGTGGCGCCCCCTACTGGAGCACTCCTGAACAGCTGGGCTTTGTGGAGTTCACTGAGGGCGAGGCGTTTAGTTCTCATGTCATCATGAATTAAAGACGAGGAAGAGTGTGTTCCTTCATATGAGACACACAGAGGCTCGAGGAGGAGGAGGAGGAGGGTCTCTTTATACTTCAAATAAATGTTGAAGTGTTTTTTTACTCTCGCGTTCGTCTCTCTTCTTATGAAGTGTTTCCGGTCTGATGTCGAGCACACAGGGAGATATTTAAAACAGAGTTCTTCTTCTGTTCTCCTTCACTCTTTGAAACCAAAGTCGAGTTCCCTTCAAAGTGCATTTTTCTCATGGCCAGGAGGGGGCTCCACTACTGCATTAAGAACTCATATTCCATAGAAGTCTATGATCAGATGTTCCCAGCCTTCAGCTGATTGATTCCCTCAGTGAACATTCTCCTAAAGAGTTTAACCTCTCGAGTTCATTCAGTCAATTATGGTCCAATTAGCAGAGGGAGTGGGTGGGATCAGGGGGCGGGGCTAACTTATAACTGACAACTGACCTCTTCACAAACAGAAACATCTTGTTGAGAGTTTGAAGACAACCTGAGGAGTCAGCTGCTCCGCCTCCTTTGAGTAACCATAGTAACCGAATCTGGCTAACCAAGCTAGCATTGTTAGCTAATCTTGCTAGTGTCATCTCATCTTATCTTTAATGTCGGGTACAGACTCCTGGATTTCGGGCTGTCCCAGACGAAGGGGCGATCAGTCATGGTCATGTCTGTGGTCGTGGCTCCAAATGGTGGTCGCAGAGAGAGAGAGAGGATCAAAGATGGCCGATCTCACGGTCATGTGACCATAGATAGCCTGGACAAATATCTGACAGTGTCAGAAATGTAGGACGATCTCACAATGTGAATACTTCTATGATCTAAGACCAACCAATAGAAATGCAGCATGTCACGACGCACTAATCAGCCAACCACACAGCGCCCGAGCTAACGTGACGTATCTCAAGCTCTGTCTGACATCACAAGTGTAGCCATGACTAAGCTCTCTCTTCCTCCTCTTTTTTTATATGCACATGAACACCACTTCCTGCTGACCGCATTCTGAACGCTTCAGATTGTAGAAACCGTCTGAAGGAGGCTGAAGATGACCTTCTCATCTCATTGGACCGTCTCGTAACGTGTGGTATCTCGTCTCAGTTTGTCTCTTTGTCTTTTAACATTACAAAAGAGCAGGTAAAAAGACCATACTCATTGTTATTTGTAGTGTAAAGATTCACCGATATACATCGGAATCCGATTTAAATGTTACAGATGCGAGTACATCGATATACGGAACCCTGGGTCGATCTAAATGTACCATCAACCGGTCAATAAATCGATTATTAAATAAAAAATCGGTTGACAGAAGCTGAGCCGCTGCATTTCTACAGCGTCTCTCAGGCGATGTGAAATCTCTCTCACGTTGACCTTTCTCGCAAGATTACTAGAGTAAAGTTAGCGCGCAAGATGTAACATAAACAAATCAACATGTCCACCGACGCTGACAACATTTTCAATGCGCCATCAAACTTGAAATCCAGAGTGTGGAAGTCGTTTGGATTTTACAAGAAGGATGGGAAACTAGATAAAACTCTGGCTATTTGTCAGTTTTGCCGAGTTGCTATCAAGTATAGCGGCAGTACAACAAATCTGAGTGGCAATAACAACCGATGCGTGGACATCTTTGGCAACTAATTCTTATGTGACGATCACTGTGCACCATATCTCTCCGGACTGGGAGTTGAGGAGTCACGTCTTACAAACGAGTGTTTAATCAGTCACCCACTGGGAAAAACTTGGGCGCTTTATTGAAAGATGCTTGTGCCGACTGGAACATTGCTGACAAAGAACCAGCCCTGGTAACTGACAATGCCAGAAATATGATTGTAGCTGGAGTAGAAGCAGAGATGGCCCCCCACCTAGGCTCACACCCTAAATCTAGCCTCACAGAAAGCCTTTCAAGTGGACACTGCTGCAAGGTTGCTGGGAAGAGTGAGGAAGGTAGTTGGATTTTTGCATCGCAACATAAGGGGAGCTGAAATCCTTCGAGAAAAACAGCTGCAACTGGCTTTGCCTTCCCATAAGCTCATTCAAGATGTGTCCACTCGATGGAACAGCTCCTATGACATGTTGGAATGCTTTTTGGAGCAGCTGTTTTAGCCACATTCATGTCAAGGGAGCTCAGAAAAGGGGAGGAGGTAAACACTCTTAATGAGAATGATATCTGCAATGCTGAGGACAAAGTGATGGCACCTGTCAAAGTTGTGACTACTGTCATGTGTGATGATGAGCAGCTCACAATCTGTATGATTGCCCCACTCAAAGCAAAACTTCAAAAACAATTTGAGACATCTGAGGAAGACACTGCGCTTATTGCTGAGATGAAGAGGGTATTTAACAATGAGTTTAAGAACCGGTACACTCAGTTCTATGACCTCCTCCACACGGCATCTGTTCTAGACCCTTGCTTCAAATCCTTGCCATTCCTGAGTGAC